TCATGAAAGAACCAATCTTCCTTTACGTATGGGTTGTTCATATATCCCAGGCAACAAAGTTACCTTCTAGAGACTAAGCACCGTAAGAGTGCTAATGCTCTTATGATTATAAACATAGTCTCTTTGGTCCTCTATGCTATTTACCGTAACCTTTCCCGTATCGTCGGCGCGCATTTGCAGCTTTACCTTCCCGTGGCAATCGGCGACCAGGTGGAAAGTCCAAACGGAATGATTTTCAAGGCTGGCTGGGTTTGGCTCTACGGAGAAATGTACAGGCTCTCTGTTATTCGTCTTCGCGCGCATAGGCTGCAGTATGCCGTTGTCATCCAAGAACCTAAARCCCACGTTGGCGTGACTACACGCACCAATGCAAATGCTGCATATTATCAGCTTMTTTCCTGAGTAGTTCAGGTCCACAGACATCCCGGTGACATCAACCCAAGATGCCTTGGTATATTTTTTCTCGCCTGTGTAAGTCATATAAACACAATCTACTCCTGCCACGTMGGGGTTGTTCATCGCCATATATAATAACTCAGACCAATGCTTGCGGTGGCTAAGCCGACCTTTAGTAAGTTATGGTCATATTCCTCAGGTATCGTAGGCATAACATGGACCTTCTTTGATGGTTTCTCTACGGGTGGCTCGTGTACCTTCTTTGGCTTCTCTACGAAGTGTTGAGTCCCTTCAAAAGTGTCAGAGTTCACGTCATTCACCCCAAACTTTATATCCTTAGTAGCTCGTTGAAGTTTGTTGTTGTATCCTACTACAGAACCAGTATTTATAGATAGATTACTAGGCATTAACCAACAACCTAGGGCTACTGCATAGTCTAACCTTGCCTTAGAATTTTGTATAGCTAGTTGGTAACTATTGTACGCCCTTGCTAATKTCACCCTCCAAAATTGAACTTTCGAATAAGATCAAGGCTTTGGCTCGCGTCTCTTCTGCGGCGCCAGTATTTCCAATTATGCTAGATCGGGTGTTTACCTGAGCTCCAAGGATAGAATACACGTAAGCTTCTATGCTGCG